TGGGTTGTTTTTTATTGGGCAAGAGAAAGGCAAAGTATATGGCTTCTTTTGTTTTTGTTTTCATGGTTAGGTTTTCATGGAAAAATTAGCCTTGGCGAAAATGACTTCTTAGCTAGCGACTGTCCAAAAGGAGGAGTTGGGGACACATATGTATAAGGGATTTTAAAAAAATTTTCCTTTTATTTGTTGAACCTTACGTGCATAGGGGGCCAGCTATAAAGCAAAAATATATTTGTCATCAAATTAATTATGTCAACTATGTACATCTTAATTTGATTATAAATTCTTTGGTAGGTTACTTATCAAAGGTAATGAAGAGTGAATTAGTCTCATGATATTTTGATAAATCAAATAAATTATTTATTTCAATTATTGACATAAAACGAGTTTAACTCATTTCGAGTATATTTTAATATAGTTTTAATTCTAATTTATAAGTGTGATTTTCACAATTTACAAAAAATTTAATCTATATAAATCATATATGGTACCGGAGATAAGTAAATTAAAATTTTAATATTTATTAATAGATTACACAATTGTCGGTAGGTTATCATATTTTAATAAGTTTAAAGAGTTAAAATTATAAAATAAATTAATATTTAACTAAATTATTGTTTACCATATAAAAAAGTACGGTAGCATATATTTAATATTTTAAACCAAATTCCCAAATTCCTATTTATTTTCCTATTTAATTTTTCCTTTTTTACACCGATGCAATAAGGAAGAGACAAAAATGCCAAAGATATTTGGAATTTCTGCCTCTTTGTCCAACGCCAAGTTAACGTTGCTTGTACAAGGTTGGATAAAAACGGGGCCGTACAGTAAGTACCACTCGCAAAGCTTACGATTCAATAAGTTGTGCCGGTCAATAATTAGTAACGACTCATTGGAGGTGAGCCCTGACTTGACAGGCTAGCTACGAAGCTCGCATAGCTGTTACGAATCAAGATTTAAGTTTTAAATTTGTGCGATTTTGAGATTCAGATGTTGATTAATTTGACCTCTCAAATTAATTTTATTACGGTTTACATTCTTATGAGATATTATTCGCTCTGATTTTTTTTTATCTTATAATTTTATCATACAAAAAAGATCTCACAAAAAAAAGATGATATAAACACTTATATACTTCAGTGACATTTCTTTTGACAATCTGTCACTCAATCTCGTAACGCTCTCATTATGAAGGTTGACCACTCTGTTTATCTCTCTCGAGATACTTGGCTTGGATTTAACGGTATATAACTGATTCTGATATCACTTGTCACAGGTCAAGATATAAGTTTCGAATCCGCGTGACTCCGAGACCCGAGCATCAACTCATTCGACGTTTCAGATCAGCTTAACTGTTACGGTTCATACCTCTTATGAGATATTATCCGATCTGATCCCTTTGATCTCACGATTTTATTCTACAAAAAGTGATTCATAAAAAAAAAAATGATGTGAATTCTTATATATCGTAATGATTTTTTTTTTATATTCAATATGAGATTAAAGGTTACTCTTTAAGCCGTAACATATGCATGTGAACCTCGATTTCGTCACAATAAATCTTGTGGACAAAGTTACGAGCTACTCCATGGTGGACAAGTTTGTGTTCTCTACTCATTTACATGCGTTAGGTTAGATTTGAGGGAGGAGATATGTATTAGTAATAAAAATGCATTTTAATGTGTTGAATTGTTTGATGCAAAAGATACTGTCAATTCCTTTTTTAAAGTGATATCAAAGTCTACTGATAGCATTTTGTTAATTTAAAAAAAAAAATCGATAAACCACAGTTAAAAATTAAAAAAATTATATATATTAAAATTTAAATTTAAAATTTGGTAAAGTTCATATCTTAAAGATGATGATATGAATTAATTATATAAAATATTAATTTTAATATATTTTGTTGATTAATTTCAACTTATAACACAAGAAATTGAAAGCATAAATACTGTAAAATGTTGAACCGATATGATATTTACTCGAATAAAAATTTTTAATTATTTTTTAATATTTATTTATAATGAAATGTTGTTAGAAATTGATAATCTTTGTACGATAAAAATATAATACTCAAATATTTCATGCATTATATCATTTATTGTAAAAGAAATATATTATATAAAATAATTAAATATTTCAAATACATTATTTAATAATTTAATTTAAGTCAATATATTATTTTTATACTTTCTTTTATTTCCTTTTCTTCCCTCTCCAAGTTGCAAGCGTTGTCAAACCATCAAAAAAATCTCCGTCTAATTAATATCCATTTGCTCTCTCATGTTCTTGCATATGTCATCTTCCAATTCTCTCCCTCAACAAGACTACAAAAATACTTTTGAAATTAATTAAATTGCCACATAAAAAGTCTTACCTCAATCCTTAACTTTAATTTGCAACACCTTAGGTACATGTTGACCTTAATTTTTTTAAGGACACATGTCATTTTATTTAATCATATAATTAATTTCATTTTATGTTAGACGTTAGATTTTGCGCTTGGATTGGACTGCGGGATGGGATCCATTAGAAAACCAGGAGGTCGGTCGGTCGGTCGTTGCCTTAATTTTTCAGTCAAAAGGGCCGCATTATAATCATAGACACCGAACAAAACCAAAATTCCAACCGACTTTCAAAGTCTACTCAAAAAATATATATGCAGCTGATATTATCAAATCTTTTCTCATGTTATATTATTTAGTTTCACCTCCAACAACCAAACACAAAATGACAAACCAAAAGGAACTAACTTCTTATTACTTATTATTATATTAATTAATTATTTCTAAAATGACATTTTAAACTTGAATTCTGAGAAAATTTTTTTTTCTTGTAAACAGCCTCCATAGTTAAGAAAAAAAATATATAGTGGAGGGGGGGGGGGAGTGGAGAAAACGTGGAAGAAAGGAAGAAGCAGAGGAAAGTGAGAACCAGTGATTGGTAGGCTCATGGTTTTCAAGCCAAAAGTCTATTAATCTATGCGCTTTGAACAATGATTTGGCACAGAAGTTTTGCACGTGAAATGTTTTCACGGAGCAATGGCGCCACCCGGGGGGGGCCGTCAAGGATGCTTCCTTTTTTGCGGTTTTCACGTGGTGTAAAACCGAGAGGAGGCCGAGGGATTCTTTTGTTTTTTAATATGAATTTGCGCACTTTGGTCTGCATTGGTACCAACATCTTATATCGCTTCATGGTCAATCTAGTTTCAATGGATCGTACGTAACACATAACTTTTGCTTCGACTTTCATTATAATTAATTAATTATTTAATTAACCAATATTACTAAAATTAAATGGTAGAGTTTTGTAATAAAGAAGGAAACCATTTGTAATTAAAAAAAAATACACATACATACATATAACTATTTTGTAATGACAATCTTAAAAATAAAGGAATAAGATGGTATTTTTATTAGATTAAAAATTTTGATTATGTGTAGTGTCTAAGTTTTTATGTGTATATAACTTTCATCGTTTTTAAATAATTGTATATATGGTATAGTAATAATATAATAACAATGATATTTAAATGACGCTATTTTATTTGGCATATATATGTAGATTTTTTTCAAATTATTTTCTTATATGGCCAATGTATCTTATAACATTAAATCATAAAGTAAAATTTGTTGTGTAGACTTTAAAAATACGTACAAGCGAGATTTCTACTGTTAGACTTTTATTATTCCACAGCAATATCATTGTTGTTACTTCAAGTCTTCAATGGATTATTACTACAAACACTTGTATTGCCTTACAGTGCTTCAAATGGTCACCTTAGTCCCTATTCTATCTATTGATTGTGACAGGCAATATATTTTTTTATTACACTCATTGAGCTTAAAGTTATCGCTCAAATTAAGAAGATAAGTTTTCTTATTTCAAAATATCATCATTTGAGCTTTAGAATTAATTTGATTAATTTATATAATTATTTTTAAAAAATAATATTTAATCAATTTAAATTTAAAATTTTCTTTTACATTTTTCACTTCATTAAGACTATATGTAAAATCAGAACTAAATCACTGGAGTATGTGATACGTTCCATTCGGCACCATCATTGTTTTATTTGAATTTTGGTTTATAGACGTGACTTTGATGTTGGCTTGTTCCTTCCTTTGTTTCGTTTACCAAGGCTTTTTTAAAGGATTGCTGCATGGTGGGGGCGGGAATGAAAATAAATGCACGGCTGAACAACCTAACTTGGACTTTTGTTTTTTACTTGCTTCTCTGAAACTTCACCCTCGCACGTTATTTGACTCTGATCAGTTCAATTTTGCTTGGAAAAAAGGTTAACAATTAGACAACGTGGACCCAGCCATTTTGGGTTGCAAATGGTTGAAAGCTTGGAGATGATTTCTAGTCATGTAGAGAAAGTAAAAGTAGCTAGTCAAAATAAGTGGGTGGTTCCAAAATTCTAAATTGTAATTCAGTGTTCCCAAAAGTCCAAAGCAATTTGAAGTTTTTACTCCATAATTCATCGAAACAATAACACAAAAGTACAGACTTTCATTTCCAAATGGAGTCATGCTGTTATTGATTTGGTTGCTGAAAAACAGATCATAAAGTAAAAATCTGCCACTGGGGCTCGAGTGCTATGCATAAAACTAACTAGTCGGCACCGCTGAATTGGGTTTGAGTTTCTTAGAAACCAACACAGAAAAGCATGATGGTGAGGATGATGTTCAAACATTCTGGATTCTTTTAATTCCCTTTCTTTGTTTTCTAAGTAATCAAACTGCAGGAAAAAAGTGGTCAATTCACAGTTCGTCTATGGAGTCGCCAAATCTTAATTTCTTGATCGTGATCAACCCATCTGTCAATCTCTAATCATCACATGACTTGAGTAATACCACATGTATTAAAACCAGAAGCAGAGGCGGATTTGGGTGCATGACTCTATCCCTACATTAAAAAAAAGATGTTAAGATAATGTTTTAAAATTTAATAAAAGAAAAAGACAAAAAATACTGAAAATTAAATAAAAATATCATGTTTTTATTATATTTTTAAAAGTTATCTAAATAAACTTAAAACAAAATTTGAAATCCCAATTACCATATCAAATCGGATTTGAACAAATATATAAGATATTGATGCTATCATCATCTAGGCCCTGTTATGAACATTAGAAAATAGGCTTTTTGTTGGGTAAAATGCTAGCCTTTGTTATTTCAAATTTCAATTAATAAAACATTTTAATTTCGAATTTTAGTAATTATTAGTATTATTCTAGTATTTCTGAACAAAGAAAACACTTACATGATTAACGCTTTGTTGTTTCTTTTACTTTGGTAGGGGATAATGCCTGAGTTTCAGCTAAATAAATAGGTTAACCGTTCCTAGGCCTGCAACTAAACCCGGAAGGGAGGACATGAGCTGCTGGGCCAAAGCCTCAAATAAACATTTTAATTTTTTTGAAAAAAAGATTAAGCCCAAAGGGACAGCCCAGCCCATATAAGTGGAGAAGAACATTCTACGCTGCAATCGCAAATCTCTCTCTCTCTCTCTCTCTCTCTCTCTCTCTCTCTCGCTCATTCAGCGACGGTGGCCCAGATTTACAGGCCCTTTTCATTATTACACAAACACTCCACTCTCTCTCTCCACCGCTTTTTTTCCCTTTTTTTTTCTTCCTATTTTCTTTTCTTTCCCTCTCCCTTCTTCTATCATAGCTGCTCAAAAAAATCTCCTTCTCTCTCTGTATATTTGCAAAACGCGCGAGATTCAAGGTCAGTTCCTTTAACATCTATTTTTTTTTTTGTTGTTTGTTTATTTGATTTTTCGTTGACGGAAAAGAAAAGAAAAAAAATGGCTGAGAAAGTTGGACCGCTAATAATTTCGAATCTAATGCTTTTGTTGCTTTCGCTTGTCAACAAAATATTCAAAATGCCATCTCAGTTAAGCTTTTAGAAATTTTTTCTTCAATTTTTTCTTTGTCTATCTTTATTTGGTTGCCGAGAAAACCGAGGTTAAGATTAAAAAAAAATAAGGCGGAAAAGTTTTCAAACGTTCTCTCATTTTTCTTCACGGAGCTGATAATCTTAACTTAGGTTACTGTATGTGTGCTCAGTTTACGTTTTATTTACATAAGTTTCGTATTCCGTGCAAGCTTAACTATTTAAGCTGAAGGTCGCAATTTCTTCGTTAAATGGAACTGAATGATGTTATCATCTAGGGTTTGGTTTAGAAAATGATATCTAGATTTTGAAGATTTCTTTGTTAAATGCTGATAAGATTGGTAAACTGTTTAGTTAAAGTAGTATCCAGTATAGGATAATGGTAGTGAATTAAAGAGATGTACATTTGAAAATGCATATTCTCAATTGCATGAATGGTGCTGAGTTATGAATGGAAAGTTACGTTAGGGTATGCAATGACCTTGTCGTTGAGGAGATAGTTGTTTTATGGTAGCTCTTTTTGGAGTCTGCTCCGAGCAATTTGTTCTTAGTTATCATTTTGACATCTTTATATGATATGTTGATTTCTTGCATTGTTTCCAAGTAAATTATTCTTTTGCCATTAATTCTACTGCCTATTTTTAGTCGAATTATGCCTTCGTTTCGTCAAGATTGTCCATGTGAATCAAAAAATTTGATTGCTATATCAAGCTAAAAAATTATGTAATTAATATCATAGTTTGATATATAAGGAGCTTTGATGTGGTCCATTAGGGCATTTAGCTTTATTTTTTTTAGGCATGTTTCAATCTTCCTTTGTTTTTTTTATCAAAAAGGACAAAGAAGTTTTGTGATACATGGTCGGTTGGGTGATGTATTGCTGTTTCAAATTAGTGAAATCACCCTCCCCCTTGTTTTACAAGAGTTGTTAAAAAATCGTAATTATCTTGGGAAGCAAGGCTCAAGTTTGGCATATGAGGGAGTTGATTTATCAGTGTTGTTGAAAATACAGTAAAAATCACTTGAAGTTTCTTATAATAATTACTATCTATTATATGGGTAGACATGGTAGTTTTTTTTTTCTTCTTCCCTTTTCTCCTTATTATAGTGTTTTCCATGTTCAAAGGTATAAATACAGGAGTCTCATTGGGCACCTTTTGTTTGGGCCTAGCTTGGGAAAATAAATGGTTGTATTTATTGCTGTCCAGGGAACTTTAATCGGTAGCCTATCAACAACCAAGTAGTAAAACTGGCAATAATTTGGTTTCTAATGAAGCTTAATGTCTTATGATTTCTTATTCTATTCATTATTATTTCCTTTTCTGTGTTTCCTTTTGAGTGGTTTACGTCTGCTGTAGCATTAAACTTTCCATAGTTGATATTTACTTATTTTGGTTGGTTAATTAATATTGAACCCGATAACATTTCCATCCCTCAGAGTCTCCTCAGCTAAATCAGATCGTAGACTGTATGCTGCTGGCACATGGAATGCAACACAAAATATTCTTACGAACTGTGATTGGTAAGACTTGTTCTTTTAGTAGTCAATTTTAGTTGAAACATATACAGTTTTTGGATTTTAAATTGTATGTTTGGATCTTTGGATTGTACCATCTGTATAATTTTACTTTACCACTCTATCAAACTTTATTAATTTATTTATTTGTTAAAATTATAAATCCCCAACTTATTGTTGTATTATGGTGCTGGTATGTGTCATTGTTAGCCTTCTAACTGATATGTTCAAGGTTGAACATATGGGCATTTCTCCATCACAAGCAAAGAGTAAAAAAGGAAACCATTTTTGCCCTGAAGAAAGCACATCAGAGCAGGCCCATGAATTTCGTAGTGAATATTTACTTTCTGAACTTTCAGAAAATAAACATCAATGTGGCTATGCAATAACACAAAATGAATCAGCAGAAATTGCCACTGTTGAGTCTCGCTCCAGCATTCGCGAACCATCTTCTGAATATGTGGCTAAGAATTCTTCCCCTGAATATTTGGGACTGCTTCCTAAAGGTGTGACCAATCATAATAATACTGATAAAAGTTTTTGCCCTCAAGAAACTGTATCAGGAAAGATACATGAGTATGGTTTTGGATATGTGCACAAGGAAACATCAGAAAATAAGATCCAGTCTGGTTCTGAAATTGTTCACAATAAACATGAAGCATCCTGTACTTTGGTTTGTGGCCTTCCTGCCAAACATTTGCAACCATTTTCTGAAGATTTTTCCCAGAATGCTATTACTAAAAGTTTAGGGCTGTTGCCAGAAGATTCAAGTAAGTACACTCAGACTGATAAACTTTCGTGTCCCCAACTAGGCAGTGCAGAGCCAACAGTTAGCTTTGGTTCTGAAAACATATGTAAGGTACTTAGTGAGCCACCGGAGCAGGGACGACAGCTTGATTCTGAAAGTTTACCAAATGGTATAGAAAAAAGCACTACTGCAGTATCTGTTAATGTTTTTAATCAAGCCTTGCAATTGAATCCTGAAGATACGAACAAGGGTAATTGTGGCAAACATTTACAATCACCTTCTGAAGGTGTGAGCAATGTTATTCAGACTAGTAAAAGTTCTCTTGTTGATCCTTTAGCATTGCCTCAAGAATTTGCTTTGGAAAATCCTAGCATTCAACAACCAAGGCTCCATTGTGAAAACATGGCAAACAATTCTGGTGCAGAACAGCATGAAACAACACCTAAGAATTTACCCAATAATTCTGGCCGACACAGGGATGGAAAAACTTCAAAAATGATAAAGAAGAAATATATGCTAAGATCTTTGACAAGCAATGACAGGATTTTGCGTTCAAAGTCGCAGGAGAAATCTAAAGCTAGTGAGTCGAGCAATAGTTTGGCTGATGTTGGTTCTAGCAAGCAGCAAAAAAGGAGGAAGAGGAAGAGGAAGAGGAGGGAAAAGGGAGAAGTTGTTGATGAATATTCAAGAATCAGGGCACATCTTAGGTATTTATTGAATCGAATAAACTATGAGCGAAGCCTGATTGCTGCATATTCTACAGAAGGCTGGAAGGGACTAAGGTGTGTTTATTTTACTGTTTTATCTTGTATCTCTTTGCCACAATATTTTTTATGAGCTAATTTTCATGATAATGTCACAAAATGTTTTTGTTTTGGTGTTAAATGTGATACATTAAATTGCCAAAGGGAGGACAAAGCAAAGTGTGAGTTTAATCATGTAAACATCCCTTGTAATTGTCACTCTCTGATGGTCCATTACCTACTTACTTCCATCAACATGTATTGCTTTGAGAATATATTGTCTGATGCCAATTTCAAAGTTTATAGAATAAGGTGACTATAATAGCTTAGCATTGAATCTTCATTGTCAATTTGTCATGAACAGAATTAGTTTCAAGGATCAGGGCTTGTATATTTATTTAGCCTTCTGCAAGCTTTCTTAGTATTACGCTCTAGTGTCTTCCTCATTTTCTCATTTCATCCTTAATTATTTCACCATCAGTGTAATTGATTCAGTATCCTTTCCATGGTTTTATCTATGCTATTATTATTAAAGAGATATTGACCTACAAAGATCCTTATGTACTTTGCAATTTCCCAGAGATGGTATTCATCAAATAGGAAGAAATTATTTGAAAATTAAGTGTATTATTAGTAGTGAAATCAACTGTTTGCACAATTATAGTGTTAAAAATGAATTCGCTTTTAGATTGATTCCACAATCAGATATTATAGATTTATAATCCACAATCATTTATTGTATAGTATAACTTTGTTATCTTACTTTATGTACTGGCAGATGAGATTTGAGGATAAATTCATCACAAATCTGCAGAGAATAGGTTTTGCTGAAACACTTAAGACAAACAAAGTTGAAATATTGGATCAAATGCAAAGTTGTCACCTTTTGGAACTGAAATTGATCCTTTACATCTGTGTATCTGTCATCAGAGTAGTATGATTGTCCAATTCCCCATGGATAGCTAATGTATGTTTGTTGCTTTGGACTGTTTGTGCAAACTGCAGCCTAGAAAAGTTAAAGCCAGAGAAGGAGCTTCAACGTGCTACATCTGAAATTCTTCGACGCAAATTGAAAATTAGAGATCTATTTCAACGAATAGATTCATTATGTGCTGAAGGAAGGCTTCCAGAATCTTTATTTGATTCTGAAGGACAAATTGACAGTGAGGATGTAGGAGAACCATAGTTATAACCATTGTTTATATATTCTTAGTTGCTATTTTCTTATTGATGATAATAATTTGCGTCTTAGAATTAGAAATGCTTAGACATGAAATCCTTTAAATGCAGATATTCTGTGCAAAATGTGGGTCCAAGGACCTGTCTGCCAACAATGATATCATACTCTGTGATGGTGCTTGTGACCGTGGATTCCATCAATATTGCTTGCAACCGCCTTTGTTAAAAGAAGACAGTAATACTTTCTATTGCCTGCTTGAGAGTAATAAATGCTATAATGGGTTTTTAATTGTTTTATTGTCATTAATGCTCTTCTTTTTCCTTACCCTGTTAATACAGTTCCTCCCGATGATGAGGGTTGGTTATGCCCTGAATGCGATTGCAAAGTTGATTGTATTGAATTGGTTAATGAATCTCAAGGAACAAGTTTTTCTCTCACTGACAATTGGGAGGTCAATAATCGATTTTCCTTCTTTTCATTAGATCATACTTAGTTTGATTATTTTTTTATTCCTCACCGTGCTCCTTCCTATCAACAGAAGGTCTTTCCTGAGGCAGCAGTAGCTTCAGGTGGACAAAAGCAGGATCCTAACTTTGGACTACCTTCAGATGATTCTGATGATAATGATTATAATCCTGATAGTTCAGAAACTGATGAGAAGGATCAAGAAAATGAGTTAAGTTTTGATGAATCTGATTTCACTTCTACATCTGAGGAATTGGAAGTACCAGCTAACGTCGATCCGTATTTGGGGCTTCCATCTGATGACTCAGAGGATGATGATTATGATCCTGATGGTCGAGATCATGATAATGTGGCTAAGCCGGGAAGTTCAAGTTCAGATTTTACATCTGATTCTGAGGGTCTTGGTGCTATGTTGGAATATGATAGTTCTTCCCAAAAAGGTGAAGGCCCAATGTCTAATAGTGCTTCCAAAGATTCCAAGGGGCGAAAACCTAAACTTGGTGGAAAAGAGTCTTTAAATGATGAGCTGTTATCAATAATGGAATCAGCTACCGGACTATATGGTGCTGTTGTTTCTAAGAAACGAAGCATCGAAAGGATGGACTACAAAAGGTTATATGATGTGAGTGTCATTTAAAATTAAAGTAGTTTCTTAGACATGGTTCTCTTTCCTCTCTTATATTTGTGGCTTTTGTTTTTCCCCATATAGAAAACTTGCCAAGATCCATTGCTTTTATATTTCATATAACTTTTTGCATGATAGAGTCACTCGCCAAAATGGCTTCTATTTGGTGTGCTTTCGTTGGTTCAGTCATTTAAAAATTTTTGGTTATTTACTTTGTGATCATTATGATGCTGTTCTTATTCTTAATAATGTTCAAACATTCTTGATTCTTTTTATTCCCTTTCTTATATCTTTCTTTTGGCTATATACAGGAGACATATGGCAATGTTCCTTCAAGTTCCAGTGATGATGAAGATTGGAGTGATACCACTGCACCAAGAAAAAGGATGAAATGTACCGCAGAAGCAGCAACGGCAACAGCACCAGCAAATGGAAATGCTTCTTTAAGTAGGAGTGTATCAATTTCCGATGGTTTAAATCCAAATCCAGAAGAGACTGAGCATAAACCTAGGAGAAGAACTCGCCAGAAGTCAAATTTTAAGGGTACAGATTTATCACCTGCTGAATTCAAGGGAGGCGCATCTGCATCTGGTTCAAGTGGCAAAAAAGCAGGTTCATCAACATATAGAAGACTAGGAGAAGCTGTAAAGCAGGTAAATATATAGTGTCTTATATGACTTTGATAACTCAGGAGCAACAGCAAAACTTCTGTATAATCAAAGCTTTTGTTTGTGAAACTAATAGAGATTAATTTGATTAATACTTTGTTTTCTTCTGAAAGAGTATAGATTTATAAATTTTTGGTTGATTATTTGGTTGATTTTTTTTTTTTTTTTGCTTTGCAGAGACTTTATAAATCTTTCAAGGAAAGCCAGTATCCTGACCGAGCCACGAAAGAGAGTTTGGCTAAAGAGCTAGAAATTACTTTCATGCAGGTCTTAGCTTTCTCTACTTGCAGCAACTAAATGTTGTCTTTTCCCAATTACCTCACTTTTTTCTTAAAAGTTTTCATCAACCTAATTTTTTTTTTTAATTTTTTGATTTTGCTTCTTGTATTGTGCAGGTCAGCAAATGGTTTGACAATGCTCGCTGGAGCTTCAACAATTCATCATCTATTCACGAAACCGCCGCAAAAAAAGTTTCAAAAAATGATATTACCTTGGCTCGTCCAAAGAAAAATCGACAGATCGGGATCTAGAAAGAGAACTCAAATGGTGAAATGAGGGATTCATGCAGCTGATTTAGATTTTCAAAATCCTGATTGAGAAGCAAAAGCTCCCTGTCGTTTTAAATTAATGCATAGGAGGCAGGCTCCAGACAAGGAATTTGGTAGTTGAGAAAATGAATTTTGTATTTTTCATTGTCCTAGGAGAAATTTTAACCAGACACCTAAAGCTAGAAAAAGAAAAAAAAGAATCGCCCGTACTAAACAAAGTTTGCATTTGCCATGGAATGAACAATTCGCTTATGCTGAGACCGTCATCCAAACATCGAAAGTGCATTTGTTGTCTGTATTTTGTAATTTACTAATAAAGTCGATTTTTATCTGTTTTAATAGTTTACTGGCAGCAATAAATAACTGTGGTTCAGTGGTAGTGGTATTGAAACCGGTTTCGGGATTTGAGTTCGAATTTTATAATTTAAAAAATCGCAGTAAAAGAGAAACTGTGACTAAGGTGTGTTGAAGTAACCATTCAAGGCCTGATAATTAGTCAAAGATAACCGGATTTTTTCATTATGAGTTAATATAGTTTTCCTCGTTAAGGAAAATTGTAGTATGGAAAGATGTTTGCCTGCTTCACCCTAAGCTAGTTCCTTGATTTCTCTCATTATCTATCGGAAAATCATTTAATTTTTGTTTCTGGACAGGGTCCTCTCCATTTTAGTTTTTTTCAGTGGGTCTTGACATTTTTTTGTTATTTTCAATATTTTTTAAAAACATAATTTTTAATTATTGCATTTTAATAAAATTTATTTTAAAATAAAAAAAATACAATAGCAAATTTATTTTCAAATCTAAAAAAATAATGATAAGATTACATCAATTGAAAAATAAGTGTTAAATTTAATCTATGTAAGTATATAGTGTTGATTTTTATCAGTTTTAATAATTTATATTCGAGAAATGTTTTGTATTAGGATGTGTTAATTGGATTAGAAATATAATAATCAATGTAAAAATTAAGTTGCAAGAGTAAATCGACGTCGTTTTTAGGGTTGCTCCATAACAATTAACAAAGCTAGCAGATCAAATCAAGAAACCGTCATTAAAAAGCGGGAAAAATCATTTCAAAATAAAGAATGGCGGTATCCGTACAATCTCCCTCTCTCTTTTCCCCTTACCTTTTCTTATATAATAATAATAACCTTTTAAAAAGAAAACAAGAAGTTTTATGAATCCTGCAAGAATCCTTTTTGAGTCATCACCAAAATGGAAGTTGATCAAGAGAACCTCGTGCCGTTAACGCGCTCTTCATCTCAATCTAAGAAGCGAGCCTCCGTCACTCACTCTTTTCTTCTGCAACCTCCCTTGGCCAAGAAACGAGTCGTTCTTGGTGAACTCACCAACTCGCCCGATATTGGGTCAGATCAGAACCCAAAATACAGATCCAAGAATGAGAGAGACCCAAGTAGCAAGACGAAGCCAACATGTGAACTGAAAGAGGAAAATAAGCAAGAGCCTAACGATATTGTTATTGATGAAAGCTTTGGCGATTTGAACAAGTGCTCTTACTCATCTTCTATATATGACCATCTCCGCTCTTTGGAGGTATTGACAAATAATAAGTTTTTCCCTATATTCTATATTATAAGTGTTCTCTTTGCTTTATTATTTTGTTTTTTTTTTCATCGCTTTGGAAAAGTTTGATGCGTTTGTCTCAGGATTTTTAAATCTGATTAACGAAATCTGGGGTTTAGGATTCTTTATACTTTGGATTTTTATTTTTGTTTATGGAAAAGTAGTAGGGACTCTGTTTCATGCTTATGATAATTGAAGAGAGAAACATGGTGAGCAAAATATTATAATAAGCTCAATTGCTTGCCTTGTTATGGCTAATGATGATTTTGATTCAGATTGAGGAGAAAAGAAGGCCGTTGCCCAATTACATGGAGGAGGTGCAGAATGATATTAAAGTGAATATGCGGGAAATTCTGATGGAATGGTTGTTGGAAGTAACTGAGGAATACAAACTTGTTTCCGACACCCTTTATCTTACAGTGTCATACATTGATAGATTCCTCTCTTCTCATGCTATCAGTAGGAACAAGCTACAACTTCTTGGAGTTTCTTGCATGCTTATTGCCTCGTAAACGCGTTAACCCAGTTTTTTTTTTTGATAATTCATTTCATTTTGTTATTGACTTGATGGTTCATTGATGACACAGAAAGTATGAAGAGATCACTCCTCCACATATTGATGATTTTTGCTACATAACAGATAATTCTTACACCAAGGAAGAGGTATTTACATCTCTATTTTGGTCTTTCCTCTCGTTTTCTCCTTGTGTTTCGACTTTTGACCTATTAAAGCTTTACAACTTTGCAGGTTGTTGAGATGGAGAAAGACATACTTAAATTGTTGAAATTTGAAATTGGTACTCCCACTACAAGGAATTTTCTCAGGCAAGAAGAATGCTGTCAAAATGTTTTAAGTTTTTATCTTTTCTTTCTAACCAATGCAATCCTTTTTTCCTCCCCCAAATGTGATTTGCTTCTTGATAAGGAGTGAGGCTAATGGTATGTTCTTGTTGGGCGTGCAGAATTATAATGAGAGCTGCACATGAAAAATGCAAAGTAAGCACGGAACACTGTATCAGTATACTTAAATTTATCCCTGAAGTTAGATTTTACTGATGTTGTAGTCTTTGTGTGCTCTACAGTATCAAGACCTGCAATTGGAGTTTTTGAGTTGTTATCTTGCGGAGCTAAGTTTGCTGGATTATGGTTGTCTACATTTCTTACCGTCAATAGTCGCCTCAGCAGCTATTTTTCTTTCAAGATTCATGATCCAACCAAAAACACATCCTTGGGTAAGAAATCTATATATTTTGTTATGTTTGAGTGTCCTCACATTGCATATATGAGAGTTGGTGTCTCATTTTAACATTTTGGCACTTTATTGGCCCTGCAAATTACTTGATCAGCTGAGGTAATATCATGCAAAATGCCAAAAAGAGTAATTTTGTATTTTACAATGACTAAGGTTTCAATTGGATTAAAAGTTCATTGGGAGGAGAAGTTTGATGTTTAGCCATAAGTGTTGACATGAATGTATATCCACTAAGTAATGGACAAAGGTCAACAAATGAATTTGGAGTGTTAACCTTGAAATTGGATGGCTGTGGGACAAGGCTACTTCACTCTTAAAACCCAGACACTCTTAAAGATGGCAATGATCATTTGTAAAAGCAGAAGCAATAATCACCAAGAGAATTCTTTGAGGTTGTTCATACTTTTCATGAGATAACATATTCTTTTACCTGTTTTGTAGAGCAAGGCACTGCAATGTTACTCGGGTTATAGACCAATTGACTTAAAGAGATGTGTCCTTTCCATCCATGCCTTACATCTGAATCGAAGAGGAAGTTCTTTGAGAGCTGTGAGAAAAAAGTATATGCAGCATAAGGTGATTATCTGGTTTTAAGTTCAATGTTGCATCTCCAGATAATAGTAGGATTAGCGTCCTAACTAGGCACAGTTTATTTAAGCGGCTGAACGATGCTAGAAGTTTTTATTTTACATCAAGGACTTGGATCATGAATTATAGAGTTTAAGACATGACACTGCTACCTGTGCAATATTATCTGATCAGAAATTTGATCCTATTTGGAACAGTTTAAGTGCGTGGCCATGCTGTCTTCCCCTTCAGAAGTCCCTGAATGGTATTTTAAGGATGTTGATGAATGATGTTAGGGAAGTACATTTTGAAGAAGTTTCTTCCAACAGTTTTTGCCAAATTGGACGATGATATCGTTTTCTTCTGGTTCAAAGTGGTGGTCTTGTCACTTGTTCAGTGTTCCATCGTTTCAGGCAAAGCCTAGCAACTTTTTTTGCCGGCAAAGTCAATAGTTCTGAAACTGTATTAAATTTGTAAATCATGGTAATTAGATAGCTCTAGGATGATACTAAACGATAATGCCATGCCTATGATTACCATAGACTGGGACTGATTTGTTTTTTTTGAAGTCCCAATATAAACAAGTACTGATAAACTTAGATATTAATATAAAGTATTATTTGGATATTTCTTTTTTTTATACATTTATATTATGATATATAATGAAGTTTCTTTTTCTATCCCATTATTTATCTTACTCCTAAAATTCAAATTTGATATTTCGAAGGCATGCCATAAGTTCTAAATTCTTTTTTTCTCATTTTCATTAATAGATTAAATTTCTTATACATTATCCTTTGTAAAATATAATGTATAAAAAAATGATTTTGCCATGTAGTATTTAATGTTTTGATTTCATTAGTGTAAAGTGAAATCAAACAAAAGATTAATTATATCTTATATTTGATTCATCCTATCATACATAAAAAATGGTGAGATCGAAGCCATTTTTTTTCAAGCCACGGTCATTTCATTTTACATCATCAAACTCACAAAAACAACAATAGGTAAATGACAATTTTGACTAATGGGGTTGGTACAGGAAGGGAAAATTATGATGGAAAATGAAATGTATAACGTGAAGTTTTCTTTTCTGGGTATTGTTTACCAGCACGCTTTTGCAGATAAATTAAGATGCGTACAGCTTTTGAATGTTGCCGCATATGAATTATGAGTATGACCCTGCTCCTTTTTAGCAAACCATAATTTTCTTATAGCGCATGATCAATATGCGGAATACTATGTTTATATCTTGACAGGGGATTGATTACAGCCAACTTTCCGAGGATGTAACAAACAATTTCCATTATTTTTAATTTAGAGATTGATGGAATGAAATCTTCAAAACTTACATTAGATTTCAACGGTTCAACATCAGGATTAATTTAGGCATATGGAAAAATTAGAAGGAACTAAAATTAAAGGGATATTTCAATTCCATGGTTCCTCCAAGAGATCTAATTGATACAACCAGAAGAAAAAAAACCCACAAATCTCCTGGGGTGATCTTGATTCTTGCATTTTGAACAAGCTGGAAGCAGAAAAAGGAATAAACATACTAATAGCTACATACCAATGCACAGCGAAAAGTATATTCTTGGGTTTTCTTCTAGTTATTAGGCAGAACAGAACCGTAGCACTGACTCTCTAAATTCGTCAGGCTCCTACCTCATCAGTTAGTATCTGTAGTTGGTGGATGAACAATCAACAGCTGTTCCAAGAAAAGAGATAGTAGTAATGGAGACTTCTAAACTTGGACAGGAGATTAAGTTGATTAGAGTCGAAGATTCAAGTCAAGCTTGGATGGATCTGATGATGGTTTGGGAAGCTGAGGATCCAAGCGGAAGCTTCCTGGCCACATAAAATCCATTGCATCATCAACTGTGAAGTGCATCCCTGTCATTCCAAAACCTGTGTAAGTATCATGAAATCTTGCTACACTTGCAGCTCCATCTCTGCTTGATTTTTGCACTAGGGAATGGGGTCGGACGCCAAGTGATCTAACCATGTGGTTACTCATTGGCAAACCCATCATCGACATCATCCTCTGGGATTGGTATCTTCTGGCTGCACCTCTCTCCCTCTTGTGGGCGTTCTGGTGACCACCTAAGGCTTGTGAACTGTAAAACTTCCGCATGCAAAAGTTACAAGAGAAAACCCTGGTAGAAATTGGTCTTGACTGGGGGTCAGAGTCTCCAGCTGTTGATAGTGAATTCCCACCTAGGCTTAGGTTCAACCACTCTCCTGGATTCTCCTCTTCAATTTCTTCGTTGCCATCATCATTAATTCTTGGCTCGCTTTGTTGTTTGATAGATATACTTTCAGTTTCAGCTGCTTCTTCTATTTGGAAAATCATTTCTCTGTAATTCAGAATTAGGTACGGGGTCAAAGGAAGTTGAAAGGATACAAAGGCTTTTTATGAAATTTGGTATAGTTTGAAGAGTTAGATCAAACTGGGGAAGAGAAATAAATGGAGACTATGAGGTTTGATGTTTGTCTTTTTTTTTTTTTAATTTCATTACATTCCATTTCATAGACCCCACTCTGCGATGCTTTGGTTTTTCCAGGGGACAATGCTTATGTCATCTTTACTGTTGCCCTTATCAATCATAGGATTCCCCACTTTCATCTTTCTGCTCCCTTTTTTTCCTCAAATGAGAACGCCTTTACATGATTCCTTTGGAAGTAAGAAATTCAGGGTTGACAAACAATCCAACAAGAGTTGCAGCATTCATGGTCAAAAACTAAAAATCATAATCTTCCAAAGTATTTGTACTGCTTCCCACAAGCTAGCCTATTCATTTTGTACTACTCACTAAGCAAACTAATTTTCCATATAATCATAGCTTTGGTGACTCTTTCTCCTAAGCTGATTATCAGATTAGTTTGAAGCAATATTTAAGCATAAATTCACAGAATAAAACGAATTTAGCCAGTACTTCACATTGACTGCTTCATGATGCTCAGAACAAAAGTTAGAGCTGGCAAGAAAATGTCATGCACTTAGAAATTTTCACTTGCCAATTATTTATCAATTGTTTTCTTTTGTAATAAAAAGAAAAAGAAACTGCAAAGTGAAAATTGTAAGTATTACTCTAAAATAACCTTTCAAGTTTCCTCACTATTATTGGTTTTATGCTTTTCATGTCAAGTATGACATATGAAAAAGATGGCATCCACTAAGAACAGATGTAGTTTCTGTTCTTGTTTATGCAAGTTAGTGTTTGATAAGCTTTGTTGAATGTGGAATGAAAGATATAGATGTGAGTGATGGTAGGTTTTTGGTTTGGATTTTAATCACCTTATGGTTTATTGGTTTCGTGTGGGGAGTAATGGGACCCAGAGAATGGCCAATAATGGTGGAACAGCAAAGAAATAAGATAGGACGGTATCTTAGCTATTTTTATCATGTTGTTTTTCTTTGGACAAGAATATCTATCCGGGTGTCTTCATATTGGGAATTCTTTGCTTTCCTTTAAAAAGGTAATAATGGGCAATGTATATGTACAGCAGGGAGAAGTGCATTCACAGCCACTTGTACTTCAAATCTTTTTCTTTTTTTTTTTTAAATAAAAACTTGAAAGAGATGGTCTCAGCTTTCTTTGCAAGACAAAGATCTTTTGGTTTATTTTTTGGTGGTGAAGGTGTTGCACCAAGGGATTTGCCTTATTGGCTGACATAATAATTCTTCTCCTGTATTTATCATCCTACGGATAGAGAAGAAGATCAGATCAGACAGTAAGCATTAACTTGGTAGATTTGCTGACAGATATAGATTATCTGATCCTCACAATCTTTCTAGAGGAGACACTACCTTCGACATCATAGCTATTTGCCTATTTGAATTAGGCGTAATGGACAATAATCAAAGACAAAGAAGTCAAGGAAAGGTGAATGTGCCCATTTTGCAACTTGCCCTTGGCGTTTAGCGAAAGACCCTACATTTCAAGTTCACATTACTTCTCCCTGGTGTGCAAAAAACATGTAATGCTACTGCTTACAAGTTCTTCCTAACTACGGGATTTGAAAAAACTAAGGAAAAAGCTTGGCTGGCTGGAACCAGTTTGTGCATCAGTCAGAGGAACTCCCGAAAAACAACGAATCTTGTAGCAATGATGAAGTTGCTCTAACCTCGAGACTATCAGAATTGCAAGTTGCAAAGACAAAAGATCGCAAAATCATTTCTCACTAATAAGTAAAGAATACATGCTACAGTTGGCGAATATTATTTGTCGACGTTTGCATTGCTTTTTAATGGATTCTCCAAAAAAAGTGATAGATCTAAAGAACTGAGTAAGATCAATGGTGCTGACATCCAATAATGGGGGGAGGTAGGGGGGATGAGGGATGATTAATGACAACGATGATGATTCTTAGGGAAGGTGGTCAAGCAGGATATGTTCATCACTTCTTGGAATTCACTTGACTTTTATATTAAAAGCACTTGCTCTACACCTAAGAATCTCCATGGCCAACTGGTTGGCTGCTTTTCTGATTGCGATATGAGACTTTGAAGCCAGCCCTTTTAATTCCATGTGGTGAAAGAGAAAAAGGATAAAAAAAAAACCCAAAATAACAAGGGATGGGGAAGCTTCATTTTTGTATTATTTGATTGTTGATTCTTTTTTCTCTAAATGATTTTTGCAATATGAAGTAGGTTTTTCTTTTTGTAAGGATTATATTTGTTGAAAGTATATCGTTTATAATTATTATAATACAATTAATCAATTATAATTTGTTATTGTATAAGATTTATAAAAAATTATATAAAATTCATATTTTTAAGTGATAGATTTTTATATAATTTTGTATTATAATTGATTAATTACAATAAAAATTTATAAGTGAAATATTCCCTTTTTTTTCTTCTGTTCCGGGAAAATTGTCATTTAAGCTGCTGGGAAATTTTCAGTTCTCACATGATCAATTGCAAAGAGTGTGTCATGATTGCCCTAACGACCATTGATTATTGGCTCAGTTGAAAAGTCTTTTGATGGACTACCGATGAGCAAATGGCTAGTACTTATGTTTGACTTACCTTCCATCCAGGACCAGTTGTCCAAAAATAGTCGCCCCACAACGTGGACATTGAAGTGCTTGAATGTGGGCGCAAAAGCTTTCATTTAAACAGATAAACACAAAACCACTTTGATCGAGCAACATCCCACCGTGAATCCTGATAGATGATTTGAGTTTCAAATAATCTGTTACTATTTCTTTTCTAGGAAAGAAAATTGAGTTCTTCCTGAACTGATAATAAAAGCAATCAATTGATAAACTCACAGTCATATGTAGATGAAATAAGAAACTAGGATTCATAAGCTAAAACCTCAAAATGGAAAATGTCAAATGTTCTTTTGACAGAAGAACCGGTAATGGAGAAGGCTCAAGTTAGTTGAAATATGAAACCAAGGGATTGATGCACATGGGCCATCTTCCGCTAGAAGACCAACTGTTTTGGGCAATACACCAAATCTCAAAGTTGGAGCTTCAATTGCTCCGCAAACATGTCAGTCAAGTGGGTCATTCTGCATGGACTGACAGCAAGAACTGCTTGTGCTCAATAGAGGCACCCCATGTGCTTATTGGTGCTGACAAAGTATCAAAACTCAACAGGCACAATATGCTCCACGACATGTGCACTCATTCATGCAATTACAGTGAATTTGCGAAGTGCATGAGAAATGCGAAATCATACCATAGAAAATTATTAAACAAAAGTTATCTTAAAGCTATCAACACCGTGTGTCACAAAAACTAATCACAAACCAAAGGAATTGATCAATAGGAGCAACGAAAGTGCCTAAAGGGTGATCATATAAGAAAATTACGGGTTTCTTCCTGGCAGTAGCATAAAAGATAACATGTTTTTATAGAGATTTTGTACTCAGAAAACCTAGCCTTTGGCTCCTTCATGACAAAACTAATCTGACTCCATCAATTGGTTGCTGCACTCAGCTGTGCCAATCCATGGCCTTTCAAGTACCTGCAATGTACGTGCAAAAAAATTATCCACATAAGGTTCTCAATCACTTTGGATAAGCTGATACAACAGTTCGTATCAAGTTACATCAAATTTATTTGTTGTCTAGCAAATTTTATTCAACCAACAAATCATTATTGAAATTGATTTTTCTTACATGCAAAGCGCATTAGTCAATGTAAAGCAAAAATCTTAGAAACCCCAGTGTGCCAAAATAGCCACAAGCAGAGAAACAAAATTCCCAAATTGAGACACGGACAACAAAAATTCCCAGCAGTTGTGACAAGTTAACAAGACACTTTGAGTGATCATTAAAAGCGAATATCAGAAACACTTTTGTCACCCTAGCACATCAATGTTTTAACTAGAGAGCAATTTAGTTTGAAGCAAAGTGCAATCAAGCCTAAGCATTTCACTGCACTTAGGAGTTAGGATATCTAATATTTGTGGTTAACTGCCAAGTTGGTCAGTTGCACAAAATACTAATGACAGTATGTAACATAAATATTGAGATTCAGTTGAGAAACCTTCCAACTCTTTCCAATTGGGCACAAAGTACTAAATCAGCAGCATAATGTTCTAGAAAACACTAAGGATCAAATATTTGAACAGCTAAACTTAAACAGGTAAACAATAGTTGATTCTTTTTCTTTTTATTACAGTTGAACAGAAGTAAAAAAAGCGGTGCAATAGTTAAGAATTTAGTGCTGATAAGCAAGAAAACATGAATTGGAGTCTGAGTATAGTCACTTGTAAAATCGTACTAAAAGGTTAAGACCATATCTAGATCACTGCTACTAATGTGCTGGACCATATTTAGGTAAAAGCATTTTATACTGATTTAACAAGGAAATGTTAGGTCTTTTGACCCTTTTGTCAAATTGCCTATGACAGTGGCAACGCTCAGTGACCAACTTATTGAAGAGCTAGATCACTGAAAGTATTGATTTAGAACAAAAGGAGAAAAAAGGTTAAAACATGTCAAGTGCAGGCAGTAAAATCCAATGCATCTTAGTTTATATTCCAAGGCTTTAGCTAATCTATATCTACTTTGTACAAAAGTGTTGATTAAGTACATTTGTTTACACTTTCATAATAAAAGGTAAAATAATAATAATTATAATAATAAAGAAACCTACAATTTGGTATCATTCTCTCTCCTTTAGCTGATTGAAAGTCCACGTGCATTACCCATCTTTTCCATTCCTCCCTATCAATCCCAATCCCAATTCCATCTCATTAACAGAATTCAAAAGAACTAACAAATTAACCTAATTTATGTCTGTTTTAGGTAAATTGAACACAAAAATTATGCTCTCTCCATCCCAAATTGTTTGGGTGTTGTCAACATTCACGGAGTTTAAGAAAAAAGTTTTGACTTTAATGTATTGAATATTAATCTTTAAAATTTTTTTAAAAAAATAAAATTCCATTACTTTTAATGTCAAAAAGTTAAAAAAGAATCATAAAAAATAATTTTAAAACATAAAAAGTAGGAGCTTTAAATGTTAAAATAAGAAAAGAATAAACAAATTTGAAACATCCCAAAATGAAATGATGGACAAAGAAAATGGGACGGAGGGAGTAAAGCAACCATAAAAAACTAGCTATCTACTTTGCAAATTTGAAGTTATTCAAGACTCAAGAGACGTGAATAACAAGAAGTCAGAAAAACTATGTTCTGATTTTTTTTTTTTCCATGTATCCTAAAATAGTAAGACTCACAAAGAGACTACTAGCGATCCTGACAAGTACGGCGGAACGTACCATGAGACAGCTCGCAGCAAGCCCGCAAGTTAACAGTCAGGTGTGATGTGAGACGGGCTGTGGGAACCACGCTATGCAAAGGCAAGAATGATTGGAAACATCCCAATTCTGCCAAATTCCTGAAAGAAACATAAGAAAACCAAAATGTCTTTAGACATTCAAGCTTCATTTTGTCAATAGAAAAATGTCAGCAAACGAGCCTTATTTTTAATATAAAATGGTCCCTTGTATGAGTCTCACTGTATCATATGGCATTAGAAATTTAAGAACCCTTTTCAATCCCACAATTGAAACCACAGAAACTAACCATCTAAGTAATACAAGAGTAAACATTTATTTTACAGCCACCATTTCCAATCAATAAACGAGATAATAAAAGATAGTGAATTATTTAAAATAAAAAAACACGACAGGACTTGGATCTCGAATTGATTTCCCAGTTATTTCGGATATCTTTATTATAGTAAAATTCAATGCTGACTGAAAAATTAACAAATTTTCGTTTCTTTTCTTCTGTTTTATCCAACAAGGAGCAAAATAAGTGAGGACCTGGAAGGGACGAAGGAGAGGCGGCGGGACTGGAGGCGGGGAGCAGAGGAAGCCGGGGGACGGAGGCGGGGCAGCGGCGGAGAGGTGCGGAGCGAAGGAGCTCTGGCGGCGGACATGACGGAGCGAGAGAGGGATCCTGCACTGCGCCAAGCCATTTTTCCAGTGAAGCGAGTTGCGCGAGATTGTAATCGTGAGTGAGAGAGAAGGCGAATGAAGAAGTAATTGAGTAAGGTTTAGGCTAGGGCTTAAGGGCGTGGAGTCGTTCCCCGGTTCTGCTACTGCTGGTGCAATAGTCTGATCAATTGAGGACTCTTTGTGGGCCTTTGGACTGTTTTAAGTTGGTCTAGACTTTCTTGAGCTTAGTTTCCAACATGGCCCGGAACAAGTTTCTCTTTGGTTTCAATGTATTGGGCTTTCTTCAAACTACAATTAACATATTGATTAGAGAGCAAAACTAATAAAACTTGGAATTGGAATCACCACATAAGAAATTGGAATCAAATAATTTTCTGCACTAGAACTACAATTTAGAATTTTGAAACTAAGCATTAATTCGTTAAAATAAAAAAGGAAAAAAAATACTTTTTAAATTAAATAATTTACACGCCAACGAACAGAGAACTATGTAAATTTAGTAATGAAAAAAGAATTTAACGAAATAGAGAATAATTAAAATATGAGATTAAACAAAACTCAAGAATTAATCCGATTGATTTATGTAATTATTTATAAAAAATTATTAACATTTGACAAATTTGAATAAATTTGAAATTCAAATACGGATACCTACAATTAAAAAAAATATATGAAAGAAAGAAGAGAGTTATGGTGAGAGAAATTATGAGTAACCAAATTTAATTATATAGTAATTATTCATGGTAACATATGAAAATTGAAGTAATCGGACAGTAAATAGCATTAATAAAAAAATTATTAAATTTCAATACCTAAAACATGATTCTTACACAAATTTATTCTCTAACATTACGGAAATTGCCTATATTTACTTAGAAAAGGAGTAGAGAATATATTATTGTATATAGATATACATAGGAAATTGCCCCTATTAAATTGTCATACATGTAAGTGAAAATTTGAACAATCCTATAGAGATGACAACCAGTGGTGAAGCACAAGAATAAATGTAGAAAGAAATGATGGAAGGAATGGAACATGTATGCAAATTGCAAAAGGGACCCAAGCTTCCCCTGCAAAATTTAGTAGGAGAAACAAAAGAAATGCTCTGAATGGATATAGAATTGATCTCTATGTTCAAGAAAAAGCTGCTTCTGTCAAAGAGTATGTCTTCACGCATTTTAGCTGTCTATTGAAGGTGTAAACTTTTCCACTGGATATCTTTGCCGTTATTGTAGTTCCTCTATAATGTAATTTTCTAACAGAATTTTGTTCATTCGACCAAAGCCCGACTTCCTCTAGATCTCCTTCTTGCCAGCATATGTTGACTGTCACCCCACCGCGTGCTTTCAATCCTTTCGCACAACCATTCGTCCATTTATCCCGGGGGAGAGCGGGGAGTAAGTATAGATCCTTCATGGTGCTCTGAACGAGCATTTCTGCAACTGCTGCTGAAAAACTGGTATAAAGCTGCAAATTAGATACTATTCCTCTACCACCCTTCTGTTATTTCCATAGCAGAGTTCAATAGAGTTTTAATGTTTTTGAATGAATTTATAACTCAATTGCATTCTAAATTCTAAAAAGTACACCAGGCTTGTGATCAACTCTCAACAACTTCAAATAGCCAAATACTAGTTGTCCTAAAGGTGAATCTAATCCCTGAAATTTTACTTCAGCAACAACTTGCCAAAAGGGCCACAGGACATTTCTTCGTGAATTCTAAGTTGGAAGTTAAACTGATAATTGCCATAGAATCTCAGAAATATAACGAAGAATGCTGCTTACCCAAAATTGGCATCAATTTGAAAAGGAGGATGTGCAGTGAACAAGTTGCTGTAGAGTCCTCCCTCAAAGTCACCTTCATGAGTCGGATCCACCAAACTAATTAAATGCTTGACCATGCGATAAGCATGCTCACTGTTGTGAAGACGTGCCCACAAAGCAATTTTCCATGTAGTTGAACATCCTGGACCATCCTCCCCTGTTTCAGATTATGAAAAATGTAAGCATATTGCTCAAGAAATATCATAATAGTAAAGTTGAAAACAATATAAATCTTCATTTGGTCACAGACTCTAAACTTCTGCTACAACATCGGGGCTCTTATTGTAACCAATGCAACAGTTTGCAAAAAAAAAAAAAAACTAGTGGTTCTAGAATCCATCAGTCCATGGTTATAGAAGTTCAAAAGACAAAGTACTTAAAACAACCCTAATGTAGGAAGTTTCTAGCAACACATATTTTTCAATGTCTTTGCATTTCAAAATTAAAAAAAAAAAATCAATAATCATACTGTTGAAATGCCTAACTTACATTACTTTCTTTATCGTAAAGATATGCTTATTCACGATGAAGTTATCGCAACACACATACCTCTTTTAAAGAGGGTATAATCAGCAGCTTTACAAAGGTCTTGAGTCTTTTCAACAGTAATTGTGTGCCCCGGAAACAGGCCAAAAAGGTGTGATACATGTCGGTGATGCACATCTGGGTCCTCAAAATCTTGTGCCTGTTTCAAAAGAAAGAGAATATTTTCATCTAGCTTGTTGAACACAAATATAAAACCTTTTAAAAAAGATTGGGATCCAGCTGTGCACATACCCATTCCATAATGGAACCATCTCTAGCAATTTTTGTAGGTGGTAACTTTGTCTGAGCTTCAAGGACTTTACCGATGAGAGCATCATTCTTTCTTCCCAAAACCTGTGTTTAAGAAACTAGTTAGCATATAAAGATATGGAGAATGCTAAATAAAAAACTTGACCTGTTTTAATTAGCATAAAATAAAACTTCACCTCAGCTGCGGAAACAATTTCAGAGAACACTTCTCTTATGATTGCAATGTCCATGGTTGATGAGTAGCTTACGCTAGCAGGCTTACCATCAGGAGCAACAAACATATGCTCAGGAGAAGTTGATGGGTTGGTTTCCAGATATCCTCCGGGGCCCTCAATCAACCAGTCCAACAGAAATGATGTACAGCCTTCTAACAAAGGATATGCCTTGTTTTTTAGAAAATCCTTTTTACAGACAAAAAATATGAAGCTGTTAGGCTAGCATTCCCATGAACCATTATTGTATGACATCTTTAAAGAAGAGTCTGCAGTGAAGTTTATTAGAAGCCAAGACAATTTAAAAACAGGACCTTACTTTGTCCATCGTATGGGTATAATGCTCCCATAGATGAGTGCAGAGCCATGCCCCTCCCATTGGCCATAAAGCCCATACAGCCTCACCTCGATCTGGTGATGTTTTTGCCCATAAGTCAGACACTTGATGTGCAACCCAACCACTTGCTTCATAATTCACCTGCAACATTCAATGACTAAATAAGGAAGCTTACACTTAGAAGATGTAGAATGACATCGGCGGCGTAAAACCAAATAAAAAAAATCCTCCTCGGACAACAAACAGAAGCGAGAAACAGCAAGGTTGATAGTCATAATGGTAGCTTTGGGCCATTTTTGAAGATGCCAAGGTGAGAAACATGAGAATTTAATATAAAACTAAGGGGAAGAATTAACAGGACAATTTTCATAGGAGGTTGCCACCAACACTGTTTAAAGAGAATCTCATACCTAAGAAGAATTCCCTGAAACTAAATTTTAGATGTACTAGGTAGATTTTTAGAAGATAAAAATAACAAAAGAAACTTACTTTTGCAGTTTTACTCCCATTGATTGACAAGCTGGAAATATAATCGAACAAAGGTTCCTGGCACTCTTTAAGGTTGCAAGAAAGCGATGGCCAATAGTTCATTTGAAGATTAATATTGAGATGAGGAGCACAACTGACAATTTAAAAAAGAAAAAAAAAAAAAAGAGGAAAAGAATCATCAAATCCTGATATACACATTTTGCAGTGAAGAATTAAATTTCATTGGTTGGTAACTTCTGCTGAGATATTGTGTTGGCAGAAGCAATAGCTAAGTATTTGTTCCACATATATAAAATATATACTAGGGACAGAGAAATTGCTGATCTGGCACATTTAAACAGGTAGGAAGAAATTGCGACAAGCAGAAAAAACCAAATTTAATGAAAGGGAAAGAATCAAGGTGTGTCTGAGAGAGTTGAAAACATACTCCCATGCTGGCTCAATATCCTTGTTCCAAATACCCTGCAGGTTTGACACCTGAGTTCCTGGTCGTGAAGAAGAAATAAGCAAATACCGACCATATTGAAACAAGAGCTCCACAAAGGATGGATCTTCATCTGTTTGAAAAGATTTCACCCGTTCTGCAGTTGAAACTGCATCATCTTCGTTTTTACTGAAATATGAATTTTTTGTAGAAGATTTAACCTTCTCAATCTCCAGAGAGCCATCTCTTAAATTGCCCTTAGAACTTTTTGAAAGTTGCAGAGATACACGATGAAAAAGATTCTCATAATCATCCAAGTGGTGGGCATAAAGATCAGAATATGACAAGGTTTTTATAGACTTCAATGCATTGAGAGACTCTGCAGTGGGATCCTTCCTAGAATCTGAAGGCATAGTGAATGGACCATCAAATGAAGACGAAGCGACTAGAAGCAGAACAGCCCAATCTGAACCTTCAACCTTCAACCTCTTGTCATCTAAACTATGTACAACACCTCCTTGACTAATTTGTAAATCAAGAACTGCAGCAAACTGAATTCCCTTTGGATTCTCTTCTGCACTACCTTTTGGAGCCCTTCTTTTACCAGGACAACTTCCTTGCATTATAATCTGATTTTGTCCATTTGCTTGTGAATGATGGTCTAACTTGCTGTCCAGAGAAACTGTAAATGACAGAAACCCTGGTTTGCTTCCAGAAATCTTTGTTACTATAACCTGATCAGGACTTGAAACAAAATGTTCCCGTGTAAATTCAACATCACCGACCGAATATTTCACTCTCGCTGTTGCAGATTCCAAGTCAAGCTCTCTACGATATGTGCCTTCTGTATACTTAATGTGCGAATCATCAAACTCTAGCTTGATATCCCCCAGAAGTTGGTAAACCTTCATCATTACAAAAAGTTCATTAGAATTTAGAGTTTGAACAAGAACTTGAGGTGTTACATAAAGTAAGAATTCATTGAAGTTGAAGCAAAGCTCAAGAGTTTCCTATAAATAGAAGCTCTGTAGCAAGAAGATTACAGAAAGTAAGTAAACCTCACGGATAAAACTAACACAAATCATGAGACAGCACAATTTTTATGAGGGCATTCAC